TAATGTTATAAAAACAGCAAAACAAGACTTCAAGATGTGAACTACAATTTAATAAGTATAACTTTATTTTATTTGCTAATTTACTTTGAGTTTCTTTATAAGCACTTTTACTAACTACTATAAATTATATTATAAACTATTAACTATAAGAAGTTTAAATCTTCTAATATTATTGAAGGCATAAAAAATAAGGTTTCCTTTATTAAAATTTTGTTTATTTTTTATATAATTTTGTATTTACTAAAATACTATTTATTTTTAGATACTACTTATAGTTTTTTACTATTATGCCTCTCTAATTATACAATTATAGGTTTTACTAAACTAAATATGTATTGTATTCTTAATTGTTTTATATTTACTTTATTTAATTACAATTATACTAATCTGTTCTTTTATAACCTGGGTTCTGCTACTTTAAAACATTATATTCATAATCAAAATGCTTTTACTAATTTGAATAAATTTGTCTTGCTGGGATTGTTTAGAAATTAGAACATAATTATGAATGTTTTATTATTGTGAGAGTCAATTATGCATATATGATCTGTGGGTTTTAATCATTGCTTATACTATATATTGTTATATATAAATTTCACATTTTTCTGCCCTGTAACAATAATTATAGAAGAATCATTATTGGTGCATTGTTAAAGTTAATTTTTAATATCTATATGAGTGTTAACAAGTATATCTATAAAAAAATTAGCAAACTTGCATAATAGAATTTTTGTTAAAAAAATGAACCTTTAGAACAGTGTTGATTTTATAAATAAAAATTAAAATTACCAGCTATTTAGTCATCCAATTTGAATAAACCTTTTTTATTTTATATAACCAAATAAAAAAAAAATAATAAATTTATTTAAATTGAATAACTAGATGGCCTGCAAATTTAATTTTTATTTATAAATCAATATAATTTTGAAAGATTATTTTTCTAGCAAAAATTTTAAATACTTATTTTATATATAATATTTCAATTCTAAAACACTTAAAAAATGTATTACTAATAACAGTTTTTGTATATATATTTAAAATTTTGGTTTAATATCTATAAATTTGTTGTAAAACTCAAATGTCTAAGTGCTTTCTGTATTATCATATAACCTTGCACATTAAGATTAGCAACTCAATTTTTACAATCTTTATGAGTTGTCTTTTTATCTATTACTTTAAACTGTAGTTACAATTATTAACAAATTTTAAAAACTCTTTATGCTTAACTTTGTAAAAAGAGTATTTATGCTTAATAATTATATTTGCTAGATTCTATCTTAAGAAAACTTGTATATAGTAATATCTAATAAAGAAAGTTGCAATTTTTGTTGTGATATATCTAAAGTTTGCAAATTAATTTGATTTATTTAATTAAATATTTGAGTTTAAATCAAATTTATATCTAAAATTTTCAAATCAAATTAAATTCAAATATGATCAAATTTGATTTGATTTGACAAATATTTGATTTGATTTGAAAATTTATAATTGAATGTTCATAATTATAAGCTATTTACTTAAATTTTATTAAGTCAATTTATTATTTCATTCTATAAAATTAAAGTATTGTAATTAGATAAATACTTTTATTTAAGGGCTCAAAATTGATTAATATAGTAAAATTTTTGTAAATCAAAATTTTCTTTATTGATCAAAATTTTAAAATTTTTTATAAATTAAATCAAAAATATATTTAATTTGATCAAATTCAAATTAACCCAATATTTGATTTAGGTTTAAGAAATACTAGATATATCTTTAATATACTTATTATATTAATATTTTTTAAATGCTGAATTAAGAAAATTATTTTTGATTTACTATTATGTTTCAAATTATTTTTAATATATATACTAAGTATGCCTTGCTAGTTATTATAAAATTTTAATAAATAAATAATTATAAATAAAATATCTAATATTAACTTTTTATCTTATATATAGTATATTATTTTTGGTAAAATATTTTTTCTAAAAAACCTATAATGGGTTTCTGCCAATTTTATGTTTCTTAGTATTTCAAAAACTACTTTAGTATTTTTATTTTATTTTTTTTTTAATATTAATAATAAGGCCATACCTCTATCTTTATTGAATATTTATTTGAAATTTTTACATAAAGTATAAATTTATTATTAAAAATATTATAAAAGGAGTAGAAGCTCAGACTAGTTTATCTGCAACCTAAATTAACAGGAGTGGCCAAGGCTTATCTAGATTTGGTTGTTAGTAATTATATATAAAAGATTAGTTTGTTATTTGATCCATTGTATATATCAGGAATTAATTTTAGAATGAATTGAATTAAAAAAAAAGATTAAGATGAATATGAAATAAAATTTAAGAGTAAGTTGAAAAGTAGAAGGATGAGATATTGATCTTAAAATACAGTAGAAAATCCAAATTTTATGATATATTTGTTGGTTAAGATGAAGTAAAAATTTAATAACAAATGTTATAACTAATTTTTTGAATAATAAATTTGAGATAGTAGAGATAATTTTATGTGGCACTAAGCAAATAAAGTTGAAAAGACTGATGGTAGGTCTACTGTATTATGTGTAGTTATATAATACAGTTATCTAATTTGGCAAAATAGTTTGGTTATTATTTCTGAAGTAGTTTCAAGTGTATTTGTATTTAGAGTATGTTGTAAAGAACTGTTAATAAGATTGTATAACAGCTGGTTAGATGAACATATTATCCAATAAAGGTAAAAATTGGATTCATGATATTGATAACAAGTTGGTAGATATGAGTAATATTGTTTGTGAAGAATATGTGAAATAGAAAGGTCATCAAGTAAAATTTTAATTCTAAAAGATTTAAAAATAAAAGATTGAAAGCTATATGAGAAGTTTAAGATTTTTTAATTATTGTTAATATATACCAAAGTGGCTTGCCAATTAATTTAATTAAAGATTTTGTTTCATTGTTGAAATTAGTTTTGTGTAGTCCATAGTGCATAAATAAGTGCATAACAAATTGTATGAATGCTGCAACAAGTAGATAATTCTAATGAAAAGTTTTCAAGATTTAAAATATAAGATAAGTTATAGATATTCTAAGTCATAAAAATTAGATATAGTAAGTTAAAATGGTTTCATGCCAGTTGGTCCATAAGATTATTATATGTATTATCTTGATGTGCAGTGACTTGTGAAATATAATTTAAATTTTATATGAATTAACAAAATTAATTAATAAGTTCTATAGTAAAAAGTATGATGTATGTGTATAAAATAAGGTTGTAGAAGAGTTTAAAATGCTTTGATATTTAGAAATTATAGATTGAAAGTCTGTATATATATTTATAATACTATTTCTAGAAGCAGTAATAAGAGCAGATAGAATAGCAGTAAGTTCAGTTTTAAATAAACAAGGTTAAAGTTTTGTTTGAGCTTGAAATGTATGTAATATAGAATTATTAGAATTTGGACCTATCAAATACTCATTGAGTATTGTGAAATACTCAAATTAATAACAAAGCTATTAGTATAAAAGTGAAGTTCTAATAAGTTAGCATTATAGTTGGCTATTTGTTAAAGATTATATATAAGTAAACAAGGTTCAAAAATTATAAGAATTGGTTGAATAGAAATAGTAATATTTAGAAGGTCTGAAATTTGAGTAGGATGCCGAATTGCAATAGAGTATATAAGATGAGATGATTACATTAAAGTTAAGAGTTTTGTTATAAGTGTTAACTCAACCCAAAAATTAAGTTAAGAGGTTGGTAATAATGACAATTGTACATTTGTTAGCAATTATTTGGGAGTTAAGAGAACAGTTAGGGCATATATAGAATTGAATAGTAGAAGAAGATAAAGTCAAGTAAATTGAGATTCAATATTACATTACCAATAGGTAATAAGAATAGATCCAGATGCTGAAGGTTGCTTTTTGGCTTTTTGATAATAATTTAATTATTAAGTATAGTAATGAGCCATAGTTATTTGTGTGATGAAAAGTATCTAATTGTATAACTGTAGTAATTAGTGTCGAATAAGTGTAAATGTTGCCAAAATGCGTGATTATAGGAATGACTTGTAACTTGGTCTTCTAAATAAGTAAACCAAAGTGACTGTTTGTCTTTTGGAATCTTATATATATGAGGAGAGATGTGTTTTTAGTCCAATAAGCATGAATTGTCAAATGTAATAAGTTGATCAAGATATAGAATACCATTATATTTAAGTTGTTTTTTAAAGATTAAGTATTTTAAGTTTGAGAAGAATAGAGATTCTAGTGAGATAGAACCTTGTTGAATAGTATATAAAATGTTGTAAGTTGAATTAGCAATAAATGTGATGCCAAGATGTTTAAAGAGCTAAATTATTTGGTCTATTAATAATAGAATTGTTATGTATTAAGATGCTAGTAGATAACTAAAGATTATTTTGAATTGTTGAAACCAAATGTGAATACTAATACTGAGAAGATCAGAAGAGGTAAGTCTTTTAATATAGTTTATTATATGGTGTTAAAGTTGAATATTCTATATATTTCGATATTATATAATTGAGAATAGAAAATTGTGCTAGTAGGAATTGTATGACTAAATTTGGCTTTGTTTTTGACAAGTCCAATATGGTTAATAAGAATTTTATTACATATGTTCTGACTGAGAACAATGTTATGAATACAGTATTCAATTATAGGAATGATAATTGTATTAATAATATATTGTACATGTGTATTAGTAATTTTTTAGTGCTTGCAATTTTGACAAGATGTGATGATTCAACTGTAATAAGCTTAGTTTGTTTGGTTTCTTTGTTGTTAAGTGTAAACCAGTATCTTAAAAATTTAAATGATTTATTTAGAAGGTAAAGATTGAGTAAATAACTGTTGTAAGTAATAAAATTATAGTTGGTTAAAGAGTTATTAGTTGTGAGTATGGTCAACTCTTAATAAACCAGTATTGTCATTATAACAAGAGTATCAGTATATTGAGTAGCGATCACTTCTTTTTATACTGTAATTATGGTTTATTAAGAAATGATCATCTTTCGATTAACTGTGGATTTTCATCATATATGGCTTATTGAGAAGAAAATGCCTCTTAATAATTTAGGTATCACATAATACAGTTGATTTGGAAATACAGTTGCTTCTTTTTATTTTCTTTCACAGTATTTATGTACAAAAATAAATGTGTTTTTAAAAATTAAAACAAAGTAAAAGTTTAAAAATAGATTAAATAAATAGATAAAGTAAAGTTATACAGTATAAGTGTGGTACATATGTATAGTATCAATTTTAAAATCGATTTTTGACAAAATATATGAATTTGGATAGGTCATTTTTATAAGTTAACAAAGCTTGAAGTAATTAGCTTTATAATTCACATTTTATCTTAAAATTCAACTTATTCAATTCAGTATTAAAAAATATTAATAAAATATAGTAGTATAATAATAAATTTGCTTTTATAAACATTAATAGAATAAGTAGAAAAATGCTTTTAATATTTTGTTATTTCACCAGATTTAGTTAATTCTAATAGAATATTCTTATCACATTGTTATTCTGTAAGAATTTTGCAAATTATTGCTAATGGTTTATTCGTTATCTTTCTTACACAAAAAAAAGATAATTGATCTTTAAAAGTAAGCAAACATGTACCATCAAATTTATTTAATCTCTTATTAAGCACAATTATCATAGTTCAAAAGGATAGCTATGCATTTGTAAATCCATTAGCATTACAGTTCATAGAAAGAAGAGTGTCTGATTGCTAATAAATTCAATTTAATTTTACATTATTTATATAATTTAGAGTATTTTTTAAAAAAAAACTGAAAACTAATCATAATGAAATAAAAAAAAAATGCTGTATAGAAGGTTTCATTAGAGCCATAAAACTTCATAGCCAAAAATAAGATCTAATGCTTATTTGTTTAAAAAAGTTAGTAAAATGATAACTTATCAGAACCTAATAAAATAATTTATTACTAAGCTAATTTTTTTAATAAATGAGAATTAGATTTTATCGAGTTCTACAGCTCTAATGAAACCTTTCATTTTATATTTTAAAAAGTACTCTAAACTTTATAAATAATTTAAAATTAAAAAGTCCACTCTTGATGTACTGTCAGTATATTGAAATTTTGGTATATCGAGATTTTGTATAACTGTTAGTATATTGAAATTTCGGTATATCGAGATTTTGATATACTAACAGTTATATAACTTGTAAATCCTATACTAAACAGTATAAATTAAAGTTTTTATAATAGGATCGACAAGTTGTATAACTGTCAGTATATGAAATTTCAGTATACTGAGATTCTATATCCACTCTTGATATACTTACAGTTACACAACTTGTAGATTCTATACTAAACAGTATAAATTAAAAATTTTTAGAGTAGGATCAACAGATTGTGTAACTTTTGATATATCAAGAGTGAATTACTATATCAAGAATAAAGGAAATAAAATATGCAATTAGTTTAGAAAGAAATTTAAATAAGATAAATGTGTATAGGAACATACTGGTAGAGAAGAACTCAAAAAAGAAATCCAAAAAGAACAAATAATGTTAGATATTGTTACAAAAAGAGAAAGGTGTTAAAAAAATGGATATAATCAACTCAGTGATTACCAAAAGAGATATATTAATAGAATGTTTCAAGCCAGCAGTAATTCTCACAAAATTGAAATTAAAAAGGATAAAAGTTAGATATATATCTCCCCAACAGAAAGAATTGGCTAATAAGAGAATTAAAACCAATAATCTTAAGACACTTTAATAATACAAAAAACTGCCAATACAGAAAATGTTAATAAAATAAATAGTCTTGGATATTGTTATCTAAATGGCATTGTCTTAAAAAGAATAGACATAAAAGGTTCATAAAGTATTGAAAACTCATCACAATAAGTAATTTGGAAGAAAGGTCCCAAGAAAAAAATGGTACTGTATTAATTTCAAAAAAACTAAAACAAAAAGAAAAAAATGCAAGACACTTACCCTAATTAAAGAGCCAACATATAATGAAGATTTTAATAGAATGTTTTAAGTCATCAGTTGTCATTATGAAATCAGAATTGAAGATAATGTCTTTGAATAATATAAGAAATCTGTTAAATAGAAATCAATATAGTAAATTTAGATAAAAAGGACGTTAAATCAAAAAATAACAGCTTACTAGTAATGAATGAAGAAGAAGAGTTGGAGGAAGATCATCTTAAAATGATAACGATAATGGTGATAACAATCCAAATGAGGATAACAAAATAATTGTTTAAGTCATAAGCAGAAGTTTGTCTAATTGGCTATTTAATTTTACATTATTGTTGGGTTTGGAAGTTTGCAACTCTGTTACTCCAAAATTCTAAACCTCATGTAACATACAACAAGTAACCTTTTCAAAAAAGGGTGTTAGATTTGGCTTGTGGGCAGTTAAGGCTTTCAGTCACTTTGAGTCAATGAATACAAGTATGGTAAGTCACATGTACAAGAGCTTAAACGAATAATGATGATTATTGGGGTTTACAGGATTTATGCTGAGTATAGTGTTAGGATTTTTATTATGAATGATACAATGTATTGGGACTTGTTTATTGATCAAGCAAATGAGACATATTGTCCCTTAGGGCCATTTTGGCCTTTATTTATAATACTAAATTTATTACTTACAAATGCAACTTTACACTTATTATTACTTTAAGACTATTAAATATTATTTATACTGATCTATATAATATCTTTAAGGATGTGTAATTTCTACTCCTATTCTCTCTTTTGGATCTGAAATACTATTTCTGATCATAAATGTAACTTATTGCATTTCATGTATTTTTCATATACTTGGACATGATATCCAGTATCACAATATCTGTCATCACATTATTTATACAGTTTAGAGTACTTTTTTTAAAAAAATGATAAACAATATAATAAAGTAAAAAAAACTATATATAAGGTTTCATTAGAACTGTAGAACTCTATAGCCAAAAATAAGACCTAATTCTCATCTGTTTAAAAAGTTAGTATAGTAATAACTTCTTAAAATCTGATAAAATCAACTTATTACTAAGCTAATTTTTTTAACAAACAAGAATTATATCTTATTTTTGACTATAGAGTCCTATAGCTCTAATGAAACCTTCTATATGATTTTTGTACTTTATTATGATTGGTTTTTAATTTTTTTAAAAAATACTATAAAGTGCATAAATAATGTAAAATTAAATTGAATTTATTAGCCAATCAAACAAGCTTTTGCCTATTATTGTTGAAAACAATGATGAAACTGATGCTAAAAAAATATAGCACAGCACTTGTAAGTTCTTAGCTTTTTGAACTCTATAACTGAAATGGATCCAAATTTAAGAAAAACTGATTGACTGAAGAACACAAGACATCTGATTTGGGCAAAGACCTAAAGAAAGTTTGTAATGCATGAATTAGATAAACAAAAAAATGTAATAAGTTCCAGAAAATAACTTATAAAAGTCAAATTGTGATGCCCCCAAAAAAAAAGAACCTTTATCTGAATAATCCTGAAGAAAAAAACATAAATAATTATAAGAGGAATTTACAAATAAAGGCCTGGAAAGTGAAAATAATTACAAATATGGTCCAAATTAAAAATAATCACACATGAGAGCTGAATTTTTAAAAAATATTACATATAAGGGCCTAAGTCTATTGATGGATAAAAAACGTGATTATGAAACTACTGTGCCAAAAAGTACTCTGACTATTTGACTTATAACAATAGCAAATCGTGATTATAGGATTATTGATTGTTTTATTATAGCATTTAGAGTTATCTATATTTCAATTATTATATAAAAAAATAAATAAAACACTGGCTACAATCATTTTTACTTAAATATTGTATAAAAAAATTATATTAAACTAGTACAATTATTTATAAGAAGATAAGGTTTCAACAGAATAGCTTTCAAGACAGAAAAATTATCTTTATATTAATAAAAGTTATTTCAGTTTGCAGTGTTTTACTTTATACCATAGTGGTTTGTTATAACAATAACTGATTTTATATAAGAAATAATATTTATTAGATTTAAAAAAAAAATTTATTTATAATTAAGTCAATAGCAATTGAATTTTCAGTTAATATTATTTTTAAAACTTTTGGAAGAAGAAAGAATAGAGGGAGAAAGGAAGAGAAAAAGAAGAGAAGGACAAATTAAACAAACATGTACAGTAGAATAAACAAATATAATACAATTTGATTGATTGATGTAAATTAAGAGATTGATAAGAATTATCTAGTGTTTTGATTAGTCGTTCATTTATCAAGAAAGCCTTCAACTGGAAGATGATGTCAACCAAAAAATCAACTTAAACAGCCTTACTAATTTACAATTAATTATTTTATTTTTTATATACTTAATAATTATATTTATTAATGCTTATATTTTTTATAAAACAATCAAGTTATAGACTTGAATAATGTTATTATTATTTTGGGTTTTCATATGTAATATTTTTTAAAAATTAGGTCTTTTTATATATATCTTTAATCTTTTGTATTAGTAAAATTATTTAATACATTAGTTCTAAATTATTATATTTATTTGTCAAATTTATATTTATTATTATTTATTAAATTTTGCCAAATTTATATATTTTATCTTATCTATATTTTTAATAATAAAAATATTCTAAAAAATATCTTAAAAGTATATAATTTTAAAATTTTAAAATGCAAATATTAATTTATATAATAATAAAAAAAAATACTAAAATACATAATTAACTAAAAAGCTTAAAACTTTATAATCTTAAAATATAAACTTAAACTTAAATTTATAATATAAAATATCTTAAAAAACATTTAATTTAAATATTGCATAATTTAAATAAAAAAATTTAAAAATATATAATTTAAAATATTAAATTATATAATTTAAATAATGAAACTTAAAAATATATATATAATCAAAACTTTCAAAACTGATTTTGTTAAAACTGATAATCTGTAATAACTAATAAAAAATTAAGTCATTATGTCTGTTTTATAAATTAAACTTAATAGTTTGTTAAATCTAATAACTAATACTTAAAAATTAAATATTTATAAAATATCAGATTTGACAAATAAAATAAATTGATTTAATTAGCTTAAATTAAAATTTTAATACTATATAATAAATATAAAAATAAATTTCATTATTTATATTTATAACTATATAGCTAATAGATTATTAGTATTTTAAAACTAATAATCTATTAAAATTGCTACAAAAGTTAATTATTATAAATAACAGTTTAGAAAAATTATATATACTATAATCTAAATATCAGTTTAAAGAAATTATATATACTGTAATCTTAAATTTTATAATATTAATTTTTAATATAAATAAACAAATTCTATAAAGACTAAATAAGAAATAGTCTTTAATTAGTTTTACTATTATTCAGTTTTTGGTTTGAGATTAGTTTAGTTCAGTCTTTATAAATAGTTAAAAATATCAAATTATAATAACTAACAATTAAAAAAGTATATCTTATAGAATTACTAATTCTAATTATATACTAATATTATATAATTTGAATTTTTTTACTAATTAATAAAATTGTTAAAGTTTCAATAACTAATAACTATTTTTAGAATTAAGACTAATAAATTAGTTTTATTAAAGACTGAAATAAACTAATCTAAACTGATTTATTTTATTTTTTTATTTTTTTATTTGAATTTTACTAACTATAACTAGTAGTGATTATTACCAAGTTGCAATATCTCAAAAACAGAACTAAGAAACAAGAGTTAGATATATTAAGTAAAAATGTTTAGAACTTATAAAAATCTAAAATTTAAATCTTTATATCTGACCTTTGCCTTATTCTAAATCTGCATCCTAACTCTAAAAATAGATATAATGATTACTACTAGTTATTTGTAATAAAAATTCTCTTATTTTTTTAATTTTTTAATTTTTTTATTTTTTTTATTTTTTTATTTTTTTATTTTTTTTATTTTTTATTTTTTTATTTTTTTATTTTTTTATTTTTTTTTATTTTTTATTTTTTTATTTTTTTTTTATTTTTTTATTTGTTTTATTTGTTTTATTTTTATTTTATTAAGGATGTGGCAACTTAGTGAAGTGGTTAAGTTGTTGCATCCGAGATGGCCAGGTTTAGAGTTCAAATCCTACTGGTGACGATTTTCAAATATATAATAAATATATTTGGTGTTATACAACCTGTATAATGGTTAACCATATCCTGTGAAGTTGGGGGTACTGCTTTCTGCGCTCTGGCCCTGTAGCCCTAGGCACTGGCATTGGTGTAACATACTATGTTACATCAAGAAATATATCTGGTTAGGTGGCAATAGGCAGATATAAATCTGATATAATTCCTATGAAAAGGTACTAATGAGGAACCAATAAATGACTGGAAACTTACCCAATCTGGATGTAAGAACTGGAAACTCATCTTGAAATCCCGAATAAGAAAAATAGAATCTTTCTAATAGTACCAGTTAGAAAACTAGAACCTTATAAGGACAAAACTATTAGTTATAGTAGTAGGAACTATAATTAACAATTAAACAAATATGTAGTAATACATATACAAATACAAAAACAATTAATCACCTGATATACTTACAAACACTATATACACATAAGTCAAACAAATCTTCTACAGATAAACATTAATGCAGCTACCACTTCTAAGATAATGATGTCCTCCACATATGTAGGCCATACTTAAAAGAGAATGATGACAGTGGGCAGATAGTAAAGCCTATTGTAGTGAAGGACCAGGAATATGATGACTAGACTCAACATACAGGACAGGTTATGGTGTCCTCCATAGCTGTGCAAGCCGAGCTTAAAACGGTGAGCGAATCTGTAGAAGACATTACAAATACTATCTCTACTTCCAATACTTCAACTCCTATTGAGATAGATAAATGCTACAATAA